AGGAGAAGGGCAGTGTCCAGTTAACCCGGGCGTCATCGACGCGCTGGCATCGCATTTGCAGCTCGGGCCAGCTGAAGAACAGGGAGCAGAGGGTGCGATTCCGATGCCACACCTCAAAGGCGTGCACGAAGCGAAGGGGTTGCGAGAGGAGCACTTCCTCCGCACTTCCATCGCCTTCCTTGTCCGTGACTTTATCATTATCTTTGGCCCCCGGCGGACCGATGACTTCGCCATTCGTTCCAATGCGCTGCACGCCGTCCCGCGAAAGAAAAAACAGCGTGGCCGGCTCCGTTGGTGGCACTATAAATTGAGAGGGATTAGCCCGATGTGTATCTGCTCCGGCGTGCTTTTGTGGTCCTTACCATTGATGGCCCGGCAGCGACTTCCCTTGGTCTTCGCATAACCGGAGACGCAGGAGCACTCGTAGGAGCCCGGCGTATTGCGGCACACCTGGTCACAGGTGCCCGGCTCGGAGCACTCGTCGTAGTCCACGCAGCGGGTGGAGTTCGACGACTCTGGCACCTGATCCTTGGGGCAGTAGCAGCGTGCCCCCTGCGGGGTCAGTTTGCAGTTGAAGCTGCAGTTCAGTGCTGCACACGCAGCGTTCTGTTTATCTATGCAGAAGTGGGTATGGGATTATTTGAAAAGGTATTTATAAAGACGCAGCTTGGTGTGTACCGGATAAGAAAACAAAATCAAGAGATCAAAATAAACGAATAATGATTACTTTCTAAAAACTAAAAGTGGTTATGAATTTGTAATTTGATATTGATAAAGTAGACAACCACGCGGTAAAATTAAACATCTAACAAATTTGGTTGAACTAAAACACCATTTTCTAGTGAGGACTTAGGACTTTAGGAACAGGAATTTGTACTATGATGGTGTTGGCCTTGTCACCCTATTAGCCGAATCGATCGGCTGCACTTACCACATTGCAGCTCATCGTTATCACAGTCCCAGTGGCCGTCGCAGAAGCGGGACAACTCCAGGCAGTCGCCGTTGCGGCACTGGCCCTCGAAGGCGCGGCACTTGGGCGTAGCGCCATTCGGACCTGGTCGGGAGGCAAATGAGGCGGTGGTCAGTGGGTGGCTTGTTGGCGGGGCCAGGCCCGCGGCTTACTTACAGTTCAGTTCGTCGGATGTGTCTCCCTTGCCGCAGTCGAACTCCCCATCGCAGAGCCAATTGTTCGGGATGCAGTGGCGGCTCACCCCGCACCGAAACTGCCCCTCGTTGCACTTGGGCGCTTCGGCTGGAAAACGGATGAGAACCAAGCTGAGTACACTCCTCCCGTACAATAACAATAAGCGAAATGAAGATTTATGGCGGGGTTTGTTAGTGGTCTTGGGGCTGCTAGCTGCTAGCTGCTGGTGGGTCCGCATTTCGGCCAACAAAAAGTTGCTTCTGCTGTTGTTCGTACAAATCGCTGAATTATTTCGCGAGATATCGTAAATAACACGCAAACAAGGGCAGTCGTGGCCAACTTTTGCCAGATATAAAACTTTGTGCTCCCGCTTTAAGTGGAAAACCCTAGAAATAACAGCATAATCCTGGCACTTATAATTGGAAAGGGTTGGGCGAGCTAAGCGGAAAGTGTCGTCAATGTGGTTATCGGGTTTAAGGTGTAGGTGTATCCCGAGGAAATCGGGGAAGTACGCCGCACGCGACTGAAATCGTAAAACCGGAAATTGTCTCCAAGGAACCATAAGTCAACACACCTAGGTGTTTTCGATGGAAACACATACATATGTACACTTGTGAGGAACTATTATTAGTTTGGCGACCATCTGGTGGCTTTCTGAAATGGAAATTACCCCTAGTAGCGCCTTGCCCTCTGTCCCTTTCATGGTCATTACCCAATTAGCTCGGCCTTTATTAAACCCAGTGAGTTTTATCCTCATTTTAGGGGGTGACAATGGCCAACCCTCGAAAGACCTCGAAAAAATAACTGTGACAAATACGCTTCGCTAAATGGCACGTTAATTTTTCGAGTTGACTTCGCATCCAGTTAGTTGAACTCCCCGTGGCACTTGAAAATGTTTAACAATTGGCCGGCAACATAATTTTTGACCATTTTCGAGGTCCCGGCTTGATTAAATAAACGCCGGGCTCCAGTTTGCGCCACTCTCGCCCTGCAATTCTGCTGGCGGTCAGCGTCCCACGGCTGCGTCTCCACGACTCCCTTGACAAAATTTCTGGTCCTGGCTTCGTTTTCGCCCGCTTACTCCTTGCTCTCTGGGCTCGGGGAAAAATAAAAAATTTAAACTTTCCTCTGGACCCGGTGACTGCATACCCTTGGGCTTATTACGTATTATATCCGTGTTGCCTTCCGCCAGCGCCATGCAAATTGCCACGCGAGCACCCGAATATCCGAATACGGGAATACGGAAGCACGGCAGACGGAGACATGGACACGTCCAATGGCTGTCTCTGGAGTTTAACCTCTTGGCAAGCAAAATATTTTTGGCCGTTCCCATGTGTTGCCAATGTGGCTTTTATGGTTATAGTCGCGCATGTCGGTCGCCATCTCCCATCCTCCATCCTCCATCCACCGTCCACCATCCCCATCTCCAGGATCACCCATGCCACCCGTCCGCTGTCAAGGCATTGTCATGGCTGCCTTTGATTTGGACCACCATTGCGGAGAGAATACAACGCGTTATTTGAATTCTTCTTTGCACATTTCCCCCCTATTTGTGTCAAACAATTTGCATCTCTGAAATGCTCACAAGGAGCACAAATGTATGACTCTAGGAAAACAGGAAAATATTATAATATTGTTCGTAATGTCTGCTGTATGGGAACATTCCATTTGCAGTCAAATGGGGAAGGAGACCTCGTAAAAGCTGATACACTCGAAAATGGCAAATACATAAGTATGCGCAAAACACGAATGGACGGAAAAGTGAGAGATAGGTCAATAGGTTAAAATGGCAAGAAAGTTGTTAAACTCGATTACATTTAACCTCCTAATTCGAGCTTCAGTTACCAATTTAAAAACTATGTCCGATTCCGCAGAGTCCTCTAACTTCTGATTCCCTTATTGCAAAGTATCTGCTAAAATATTGCCAATGCTTAGATACTCACAGTTGTTCAATCCCCAGAGTCCATTTAAGTCAAGCCCCATTTAAAAGTTGCGTATAAATTTGAATGGAATTTATTTGGGCCGAGGATCTGAGGAAACTTTTTTGTCGCTAGTGTAACGAGGCCAGTTTAAATGCAATATATCAAGAGGCTTATATATATGACAACACTTTATAACTCGGCGTGTGTGTGTGTGTGCCTATATGTCTGCATTCAGTTCAGTTGTGTTTAATTGAAATTGCGCGAACGGCAAGAGGGGCAGTACAATACAGAAGGAGGCGGGGAAGCGGGGAGCTGGGAAGTTGGGCAAATGTAGATGACAACGATGTGCCGGGCACATTTATTATAATCTGTTGCATTAATATTTGCCGACAATTTGTCGTCTGAGTTGTCGTTCTCTGCCGGCTGCAGTGCCACAAAAATTAAATTAAAAATGCCAGAAGAACTCTGCGACCCAGCAGCAATTGTTGCAGTTCGCAGTCGCCATTGAGTTGAAAAAAGCGGAGATAAAAATGTCTACACATTAATTTTAGTCTTGTGGCTTTTCCACTTATCAGCCCTGGAGAAAATTAAGGACAAGCGCTTAAATTTCCGACTGACAGTCAACCAGAGTTGGCTTTTATGGACCATGACAACTGGGCTTTCAATTTACGGATTTCTCGGCCCAGAAATGGTCCGACAACTAATTGCATTTGCTGCGGACAGCAGGTGAATATTCCGGTGCTTTCGACCATGTATTTGCGGTGGATTTTTAGGCCCGCCCACCTGTCATTAGGACGGACACACGGAGTACGGCCCAAAAAGCGTTCCGACCAAACAGCCAAACCAATAATAAAGCAATCACCGCCTGCTAATGTCCCCAGCGGGAGTGGGCAGCCCATGTGGAGGATTCCAGCCTGGCGTACACTGATCGAGGGACATATTGAATACTCACCGCACTCGCTGCCCTCATCGGACATGTCCGGACAATCGGCCTTGGAGTCGCATTTCCATCGCATCGGTATGCAGAATCCATCGTTGCATGTGAAGTACGAGGCTGGACAAGGACCTGCAATGGGATAGATGACGGAATAATGGTCACTCAGGATGAAAAGGAAGAACGAGGAAGTGGAGGCAGCCATTCAATCATTTGAGTCTCTGCCACAGTTTGCATACTAATGAATGCAAGGAGGTGTGTGCGAACGAAACCATTATGCTAATCGCAAATAGTTCCATTGTTGTCGCTGAGCTATTCATCCCAACACTAGGGATTAGCTGGAGTGCCGGCAACCTGTTCTTAAATGATACCTTAAGTGCGAAATAAATATTCGGATGGATGGCCAGCCTAGCTAATTATATGAAAGATGACATATTTTCATTATTTGGAAAATGAATTCTATCCTTGCTTTTAGCGCATTACTCTAAACCAATTCAGCCAACAACGCACGCTCACATAAATTATTCCCGAATAATACTATCCTCCCTCACTTGGTCCACAGCTGCGACCAAAAGGTTGCCAAATTATTTTTCCATTTAATATGCAGAGTGGCGACGTGTTAACGCCACCTTGCCACCCACCGAAAAGCCCGATGCTGCTCCATTCTCTTAGCCGAAAACGCCAGATAATTTCAATGTTTATGCAGTTGTTGTAGGCCAGTACGTGCCTACAATTAAACATTAACAACGGAGCCACATTGCTGGAAGCCAAATGCCGAGGTACGTGACTCAGGAGCAGTGCATCATTAGGCTGGTCGAAGCTGTTTCTAGCATTCCGTAAACAATAAAAAAGTAATTTAAATTTGCTTAGCGCATAAATAAGTGGGTGTCGGAAGTGTCCCAGCTTCCTTGTGACAGCATTTTCGGATCTAGAAGACCCACTTTCCCAAGTCAAACAAAAAGCATTCGGCTCGTTTACTCAGCCGCCCAAAAGCTGAACTCTGGATCCCCATAAAAGCCATGTCCGGGACAGTGCAGCAACATAACGCATCCAACAGCCATGTCATTGAAGTGGCTCTTGCTCGTCGCCCTGGTGGCGCTGCTCAGCATTGGAACAGGTTCCCTGGCCCAGCCACGGAGGTCCAACGTCCGAGCCAGACCCGCTGTGGACCAGCAGGTTCGCCTCCAGCGCTTGAATGCCAAATACTATGCCATTCAGCAGGACGAAGAGGATGGCGACGACATCCTCGAGCACGAAGAGGACCTGGTCGACGATAGTGAGGACGCGGAGGGAGATGATATCAAGGATGGAGAGGACGGAGAGGAGGAGGACGAAAGCACCGAAGCTGAAAAGGAAAACCAAAAACTGGATACCAAAAAGGTGACCGCCAACTCCACACCCGCCAAGCCAAAGACCGAAGTCAAGCACCAGTTGGCGAGGAGGGAGGAGTCCATCGACGAACTGCAGAACCTTAAGGAGCCCGAGCTTGAGCAGGAAATCAAGCTCGCACGCGCTGAGCCTCGTAATCGCCGGCGCGGAGGCAGACGGAACAGCAACAGAGGACGCAGGGGGCGTGGCAGCAGCAAACGCAGGAGTGGAAACCGCAGGTGCGGCGGCAGGAGAAAGCGCGGCCAGCGGAAACGCTCTCCTTCAAAGCGCAGCGGCAACAAACGACGAACGGGCTCCAAAACCAAGGGACAGGGTCAGAAAAACAAAACAGTCGCCAAAAAGGAAGCTGTTGCTCCATCAAACAAGGTGGCCTAAAGCGGTAAATACTCCCACCAACGAATGCAGCTTTTAAACTCATTTGAAAAGCAGCGAAAATCCTAATAAATAAACCACAATCAAATGTATCGCGTATTATTTTCTTGCACCGAAAAAAAATAAACGAGGGGCTATCAAACTTTATTGCGGTTGAACATACTTGAACCGATTTTCGCGGTGTTGCATTGAAAAACATGGTTTTTTATGGTAATATTATTTTATTGTAACATTAGTATTTTATTATTAGTTTGTGGTCATCTGCACTTCATCGCCCTTGTAATGCGTTCCATGTAACATAGTAACAAAATAATGCAATATACACAGGCAATCCGATTTACTCCGAAAGGGAGTAAAAGTATTTGTCTTTCCAATTTCTATCGATACACCAAAAACATTTTGGCCATGCCCCATAAAACGCCCAAAAGTTTGCCGCCCAACAATTTTTTAATTTTGTCATAAGACCAAAGGAGCTGTTGATTATAAGATGGTTTAGGAAAAAATAAATCCCAGAAACTGTGATTTATTTAAAATGGCTGTGGAAGACGGACTGAAAGAATGATCACTGAGCCATGAAACTTGGTTCCTATACATGTTACTGAAACTTAGGCGAATTTATTCAATCAAAATTAGCAAAAAAATACAGGTTGAAGCCCAGTAAATAATAGATTAATTTCGAACAAATTCCGCACGATGTGTTTTGCACCTCAGCGTAGTAAAAGAGCTTAACAGCAACGAATTGCAAATATTGCTGGAAATATCCGTCGGAATAAACTTTATTGTAGCATACTTTTCGGTCCAAACACTCACGTATTTCGCCAGAGAAAGTTTTTATCGCGAACTCATACACAGGTGTGTGTGCCAGGTAGCAACCGCAAGTCATAAATTTCGCAGCTATTCCGCTTTTGTTATAGTGCTTTTTTATGTATTTATGCTGGTTTGCTGGAATGCTCGCATGACCCCGTAAATTATAGAGCGCTGCAATTTCGTTTAGCGGCTCTTGCACTGTTCGAAATTAGTTTTACGCCTCTTTTTGATTTAGTTCCATCGAGGTTTACTGCTTGCCCGACATAAAATCAAAATAAGGGATTCGCATGCAGTTGGTGAGCCAACTCCAACTCCAACTCCAAATCTGCCTGAGATGCACTCAATTTCAGTTTGTTTTCCATTCAGCTTATCTTTTGCCTGGCTGCCTTGGCCACTGGGTTCGTTTACCTGACAGCGTCGTCATGCCAATCGTTTGTCCAAGGATGTTCCGCAGAAAGTCCTTTGGAAGTCATTTGAAATTGGAGGAAATTAAGTTCCCGTTAAGAGTTTTTAAGCACATCATTAGAAAGAGAAAGATAAGTAGATAAATGAGGGCCAGAACCTTTTGATATTGAATTAAAAAAGTCGAAAAATGTCGTCAATTGTTGGGCTTTTCAAAAAATTATAGTCTGCCATAATTCCTCCAAAAGTAAGTTTTAAATGTAAAGTTGAATCCATTTCAACTATAAATATTTTACTAAGTTGCGTCCAATAATTCCTCCAAAAGTAAGTATTAAATGTAAAGTTGAATTCATTTCAACTATAAATATTTTACTAAGTTGCGTCCAATAATTAAAGATAACTTTATTGCCTTGCTTCACTCCCTTGCCATTTTTGAGAAATTCCTTTCGAGAACATTGAGGGACGTTATCCTGTGTTTGCTCTGTCTACCCGGTGTACCTGTAGCCAATTTCGAGTTGCTCTTATCTGTCTGCACTGCTGTTGGCAGTTGGTCAGCACAATGGAATGGGCATGTGCTCCTCCGCTTGGTTGAGTGGGTGGCTGGTGGGTCCTGTCTCTGTTTCAAGTCCCGGCCCTTCGGCCAGCCAGCGTCTGCCATCCAACGACTGCCTGCCACTGACATTTGCCAAATCAAATAGAAATTTTAATTGACTCTTGGCTGGCAGACGTGCCAACGCTTTAGTTTCCGACTGGGTTCCTCCTTTTCGAGGCAGGCTCTTAAACCACAAGCGGATCTTTAACGCAGCCCTATTACTTTACCCTTAAAGCCTTTGTCCTAGCCATTTGCTCTGATTTCGAGCGACCCGACCTCTGCCCTGAATCTCCGCTTGTTTTTCCATCAGCAGGAAAACGGGTTAAGCGCCTTTTGGGCTCGAAGGGAAATTTGCATCTGTCGCTGTTGCGAATTATGTGGGCGCACACGGAAAACAGAAACTTTCGGATTCAGGATTCGGATCCAGTTCAGCACCACTCCTCCACCTCCTCATCTGCTCCTCCCTGTTTGTCAACAACTTTGCGCGCACCTCATATCCAGCAGTCAAAAGGTATATTTGTTGCGCTTAATATATTATAAGTTATTTGTCGAGGAGACACAACTTTATGACTATAGTTATAAATATATATTTAAAAAGAATTGGTTTGAACAAAAATTTGTATCATGGCATCTTAAGTAGAATTAATAATAGTTTAAGATCGCGCTTATGACGTAAGATAAAAGATAGGATACGGGTAAATTGTGAGATTTTCAATATTTCATTGCGAAAAAACTTTAAGAAGACACATTAATCCCTTGAATAAAGTCCATCCCTAGGATACATCGAATACGGAGTACCAGTTAGGCGTGACCCTAAAGGATGCCTTTCCATCTTGTTTTTTGTACTTGTTTTTGTTTGCTTTTTGGGTCAAAAAGATGTGTGTTTGTGCGCGTTGGCTGTCTGTGTGTAACATAGTTTTTCACTTAATTAGCGCGCTGAATGACGCGTTGACAGTTGGCAGGAGTACGTGCCACGCCTGAGGGGCATGCAACACACAACTTTCCGTGATTGTTGTTGTCTCTTGTTGTCTGCGGGAGCAGCAGTTGTCAGCTGAGCAATGTGCCACAGATTTCACGGATTGTGTGCTGCCAGAACTTCCTACTGCAATGAGGTAGCGCTCATAATTAAGGACAGCTGGTGTTTATTACAAAGCCAAAGGTCAACTAATTGGAGTTTGAATTTTCTTAGAATAAAAATATTTTTTAAATTGCCGAACTATGTGGAACAATCTCAGGAAGGGAAAGACAAGTATGATAATTAAAAAAAAAAACGGAATATAATATCATAATAATATAATATAATTTTCTGTTTTTTTGATAATAAGCAAGGACACTTAACACTTTAATTTGTAATTTAAATGGAACTGTATAAATGTTCAAATGGTTACTGCCCCAAGCAAGAGAATACATACATATCGGTGGATTGAGCTGGAGAAATTCACAACAAACTTAACGATTGAATGCTTAAATTTACAACAGAACTCTGAGCCATCCCTCATTCGGAATGGAGTCCTTGAATATCGTTTACATTTTCACTGCCGGCAGCCGACGAATTTCCGTTGTCGGCTCGTGCAATTTGCAGTTCACACATCACTTTTATGTCTGCCACCTCCCGTCTCGCTTCTATCAGCTACTCATCCTCTTAGTCCTTTAATGGAAAACTTTGTGAAAATTCGCACAACGCTGGGAAGATTCCATTTTGATGTCACAACATTTTTGGCCTTACTTTTAATGAGCAGCATCAAGGAAGCGAATTTTTCGTATTAAAAACCAATGCTTAAATAAAGGTTTAATACGACACAAAAGGAGTAGTGCATAAACAAAATAAAAAACATACAAAGGGAAAAACTTAAATTTAATAATTAAAATAGGTATTTCCAAAGGAGAATAAATAACGTTATAACGGCCTCAAGTTATAAAATATTAATAGGTGAAAATGAAAAGCCGTATGTGTATAAAGCTGGTAATATTCTGTTTTATTGCCAAGCAAAACAAGAACGCTATAGTCGAATTTGGAGAATAAGCTGCAGATTCTTGTAACGCCAATCGCAAAATGCTGTCACTTCCACCTTTTTTTTAATTATATATTTTTTTCTACCAATTTCTATTGAAAGATTAAAAGAATTTTGAAATTTCCCCCTCGCACTCCCACTAGCCGTGTCAGGGGTAGCTGATAGTCGAGTAAATCGGCTATAGCGTCCTCTCTTGTTCCATAATAGCGGCTTCCTCTGGCATAAAAATCATGAGAAAGGTGACAAAGAGAGTTGCGGGCGGTGCAGATTTCCGGCTGCTCATGGCCAAAAGCAAGCCGTGGAGCCCACGGGAAGCAGGAAGCCGGAGCTGCATCCTGTAGGGATCCCCCACTGCGGTGCCGGTCAGCATCTGGCCGTACATACAAATTCGGCGGCTTCCGTTGCCATTTTAACTTCCTTGTACTGCGGTCTCAATTTTCATTTATATCGACAGCGAAATCTGATGCAATATCCTCGCATGCTCCACTCCATGTCCCTATGAATAATTTAATGCACTGGAGTGCGCATAATGAGCGTGATTGACATAAATGTACTTTAAATGCATGCGGGGAATTTGATCCAAATTGGGATAGTAAGGACGGGATATTTTGTCGGATATAACATGCCAAACAAAACGAATTGCCTTTAAAATTTATAAAAATCAAAACAATATATTTATCGTTTTTTTCTAGTATCCATAAAATAAATTTAAGTTTTATAATATCTATACTACAATATAAACAGTGTTAGGAACTAACACTGTCATAGGCAGAACCAGTTTATTGTTTGCTAGCCATTCTATTTTGATTTCGTCCAGTTGTTCTCTTTTGGTCCTAATTTTTCAGAATGGCTTGCTGGCATCACTGCATGTTTGAGAAGGGTGGCAGTGGGCGGTGGAAATGGGGATTGCTTTAGGCCAGATAGCCGTGTCCGGCTTTGGCTGGTTTGCCTTGGACATTGGACTTTGCCGGCGTTTTTGGTTTCGGTTTGCTCGCTCGGTTTGTTGTCTGTGGCCGTATGTTTTCGGCACTTAAATCGAGTTTATTACGTGCTTTCTAACTGGCCAAATGGAGAAAATGGGGCCTGAGAGCACTGCTAAAAGCCAAATCACTTCGAAGCCATAAGTAAAATAAAACTTTAACCCTTCTTTACTTCAACTGCGCCAGCGTTTTGTTGTGTCTCTAACCACGCAAACTTGTAAATGAGTGTTTCGTTTATTAAATTGAATTGTTTTTGGGAAGCACAAAAATACACAAGAACTTCTTCC